GGACTCAGTTTCCATGTTCCCAGCCACTCTTCTAACTGCCAGGCTTCCTGTAATAAAAAGAAGGGTGCATTTTGAATGACTTCTCAGGCGTCAGCTCAAGGAGAGGATTCATTATTACGGTTCTTGGGCAGAGACTGATGCTTCCCTGCAGCGTGGATTTAGGTACTTCTATCCTTTTGGAGTTGGGGCTTTATCTGCATCCCTCTCTTTATTATTTCCTATCCTAGATATTCAGGATACTGGCTTCTATGACTCTTATGTGATTAAATTTACAGTTGTAGATTTTGTCTTAGTTCTTGCTAAACTTCTTTTATATAGCTGAATCTTTGAACATTGATGTGATTAAATACAATTGAATGTGTGCTTTACCCTAAAAGAAAGTCTGGTTGCATTTTTCTTGCAGTAGCAAAGTGAAATGTCCATCCCCTAATTTAAATTAGTCCTTCAAAATCATGTCCCACCTTGGAGCACCAGTTTGCTGATCTGACCCCAAAATTAGTAGTCTTATAACTGTAATAATAGAACACCATTCAATGTGCAAGGCCACTGTTGTTAGCTTACATATCTGAGAAGCATTGTTCAGATGTTTTTTTCTTTTCATAATAAGAATACTTAAACAGTCAAAATTTTGAAATCCTAAATAATTAGCTAAATGCTTTGGTAAGGACATATTGAAGAGCAAAGGTAGCTGCATTACAGGTATTTATGTGCTATTAATTACCTAATTTAATTTAGCATCTAGATGAAAAAAATAGAGGTTTGACTTTCTGTACATTTAAAGAATTCCAGTCTTACCACCAAACTCCAGATGACTCATCTCTACCATTTTCTTCCGTGATTCCATGAAACTATACTTACATAATATCCAGCAAATTAGAATGGAATTGAATTAAAAATTGTAACTGACAGTAACTTTTATTGCAGAGCAGTCTTTGCCTTATGAGCTGTAATATTTAGCTTTAACGAGGTTGTATGACTGTACCTTGTTTAAGCTACAACTTTCTGTGAAATGCCTTTTCTGAGTGGCTGTAACAAAGAAGCGATCCCTACAAGTAATGTTTGAGATAAGGTAAACCTATTATACAAAGAAAGTTGACAATAGTGCATACATGTTAAGAGCTTTTTGAATTCTAGAATCAAATCCAAAGATGTTAAATCTTATATTTGAAACTGAAATATTTTATGTAAATTGAAAAATAGCCATATATACTGGGGAGCTTTCTAGAATAACTTTTCTTTCAACGTACTTGTAGCTGAAGGATGTTTATTAAGATTCAGCTTGGCTAGAGAAATAATTATCTGTATGGATCTCAGTGTAGCCTGGCTTAATGGATCCAGTGATGCTTTCCCAGGCTTGTCTTTTCATTTTGAAATAGGCTGTCAGTCATGTCAGGTAGTTGCTTAGACTATCTGGTACTCTTTTTACCCGTTCTGTGCAACACCTTTAAAGCACTTTGTGTTCATGTCTACAAAATCCTTTTTAAAACTGGGGTAGAAATGAAATTTATTATTAAACCATAATTAGTAAAAGTGTACATATATAAGCAAGTATAAATACACAAATTACTATAATAAAAATGACTATCAAAATTATTTGAATCAGGCCCTCAAATGTTAGGAAACGCCAGAATCATGAGTGCCTGAGTAGTGCTTGGCTCACCCAGTGCATGTTGAAGTACACTACTAAGACTGTTTTGAAAAAAGAAGCCTGTGCATATAGGACCTCTTTTTCTTCTAATATGGATAATGGAGGGTGCAGAGTGTGTGACCTGAAGAAAAGAAAAGGGGATCTCAAGTGTAATCATAGAATCATAGAATGGTAAGGGTTGGAAGGGACCTTAAAGATCATCTAGAAATATCAAATAGGGGAAAAAAAATTACTTCCTGTCTTGTCCAGAATTCTTATGTGAGGCTTTTGATCTATGAATGCTGAGGATACAATTTCCTAAATTTAAAAAATGACATTAAATCATTCTGCCCTTCACCACAGGAATTTTTTTAATATAAAAATTACTGACACATTTGAAGATCACTAGCAGGATTGACATAAGGTAGCTAGTACCTGTACTGTTTTGTTCTTAAACAATATTAGTATACAGGAAGTAAATTTTGTGTGTGGTTCCACAGACTTCTTTTGATTGGCAGTTCCATTCTGGGTCTGAAAGGATGGGTACTTCGGTGGCCACAGCCTACTCTGCTCTTGCTCCTTTATTCCATTCCCTCCAGCCCCATCTTGCTAGGCCTCTTTGCTTCCGTGATTCTTCTCGGCCCAGATGATTATATTTTGGAAAAGCTGGAAGTAACTAAGTAGAGGACTTAGTAAGAAGTCTACATTATAGGGTCAATACAAAAATGTAGGCCACATAGTAAATATGGGAAGGAATTTTTTATTGGCCAAAGTGTCTCTTGGAGAGCAATAGAAGGGTCAGGAAAGAAAGGCAATTCTGTTTATTTTTCTGGACCATTTATTTTTTGAAATAAAAAATTGTATTTCTAGTTAACAGTGAGTTCAATCTTGATGAAAATCCCAGAAATCTAGAAAAATTTATATTTGCACAAACCTCCTGTCATTATAGGTGAATTTTCTGCTAATAGCAACTATGGAGTATTTGCCTTTAACATTTTCCTTTTCCTTGTATCTTTTTCATATTACAAGTTATACTTGTATGAATATCTACCAAGTACTCTTCATTCCTTACCCCAGAATTAAATAAAAAAATCAGAAGTTTTAAAAGTGTCCAATTTTGTCATCAGTTTTAGAGCAATTTTGCAAAAAAAGAATGTATGTCATAACTTCCATTTTTAATATCTGAAAATGAAGACCTAGAAAGGCAAATGTCAATAGTTCAGACCATGGTTACAACTACAGGAGTGTTTCAGCTTTGATGACCATTCATAAGGCACACAAAAAAATGGTGATATAATTGAAATATATGAAAAAATATTGGTCTTGAACCTGCTCCATGGCCAACACTGTCTTTGAACTGTTAAGTGGTGCATATGAGACTACTATTTATTTGAATAACTTGAACCATTTGTAACAAGATGATTCTGTTTCTTGCAGCAGATAAAAAAATTTCTCCTTTTTGATGGAACGAACATAAAGGCAAATTTTCTTACATTACAAACATGAATTCTCTGTAATGTAGGCAAGGTGTTTACCAAGTATTATGTTTTCATTTTGTTATAGCAAGATAGGCATAAATACTCCTGGACTTCTACTCCAGGATCTCAAGTGTTACCAGCTCTGCCATACAGATAGCTTAGTACATTTTACTGCAAATTGTAATGCATTTCTCAAATACGAATCTTTCCATAATAGATGGTATACTATAGACATAAAACCAGATACTAAGAAGTATTTTGTGTATTACTTTGTAGGTTTTCACATGAGTTTTGGGAACAGTTTTATTAGCGGATATTTCCTCAATTATTTTTTTTTTAATATTTAACATGGGTGTTAGTAGGACGTCTTCTATATCTCTTTTAAAGGGGCCTGGAGATGAATTTGTTCCTATTTCTTTTTTTTGTTTGTTTGAAAATCTGAGTTGTAGCTGCCATCCTTCTGTCCAAAGAAGCCTGGATGTGTACTACTCCCTTCTGAGCACATCAATTCAACACTTTAATTAGCTGGAAGGTTGCTTATTCCCATATCTTCTAGGATTAAAATCACTTTCAGTAGAAGAGCTTAATAATCGGCCTCATTTTATGTTGGTTTGTTTGGAAATTTTGTAATTAGTGCTAAGAGGTTAAAAGCTGTGGATAGAAAATGAGATATTCTAAGGAAAATCTTTTTAATTGTTATTTTTCAATTTGACAGTGATAGAATATATTCTGTAACGTTATGTAATTTCTTCCTCTGGCACAAGCATTGAAAGAAAAGAGGAAAAATATATTTTGTAGTCAGGGATACTCATTTTCTGTACATTTAATGGTATTCACTGTGCATATTATGCTGCAGAATCTCACTGTGTTCTGTTAGATGACTGATTCTGCTGCTTGCTCTCTGACTTCATATACTGTATGTGTACCAGAGACATAGGCTGCTAAGACAGCGGGTTTTCCTGGAAGTGGTTGGTTCCATCATGGCTGATTCTGTGCAATAAACTTTTAAAAGCTGCTGAAGACTTCTTTTTTTGAAATGTAGTACATACATAATGCAGCCATTCCATTTAGTGATTGTTCAAGTTTGTGTGATAAATTATTACCTTGATGATGTGTGTGCAGTACCTAACAGAGTAGTTGCATATAGAATGTGTACTGTTTGCTTCAGTCGTGAACTGATATTACATTTAAATGTTTGCACAGAAAAAACCTGTTATTTCATATAAGGTATGGTATAACTTTTCAGATATGAGATGAAAGGTCTGTTGTTACAGTCTCAGTGCTACATGTTGTTTAGTATATGAAAAAAATTTTTAGAGTGGTCTTTCTGTTCTGTAGAGCTGCCTTTACATCAAAAAAATAAAAAAGACCTACATACACAGTCACGGATGTTAGTCATTTTTACAGGGGAGGGAAGGAGGAGGGGAAGATGCAGAAATCCTCCTCCTCTTAGACAGTAGTAACAGTGTGAGGATGCCTTGTCCTAATTTTTTTTACTTCTGAGATTTTATTGCTGGCAGCCAGATGTGCTGAAACTCCTGACGACAGCATCTATTCACTGCATGTTTTTAATAGGCTTAGAGAAATATGAGTAGAGTACATGAAAGCAGTTCAGCTTCACACTTCAGCTGGGAATGCCCAAAAAGCTTGCTGCTGTTTAGAATTCTTGCTACAGTCAGGAGAAAGCCGCACGGGTACTAAATCTTCTACGACTGAATTAGAAGAATAATGACTGTACAATTAACTATCAGCCCCTGCTCATTTAGGTACAGTTTTTACAGAGATCAGGAGAAATATGGAACTTGATTGGCATGTTTGCATTTGATGGTGTGTACAAAATAGATGACTTTTAAGACAGGTGGTGAAGAAAAATAGAGGGGAAGGAAAGAGAGAAAATGCAATTTGAGACACTACGCCAGGTCTGCAATTCTGTTTTATCTCATTTTCATGGGGTTTTCTCATCCCCTCCAAATATTTTACAAAATGATCTGTTTGGACAAACGCTGAACAACACTAGGTGAGTAGAAATGAAACATTTTTGCCTTACCATTTCTATGCTTATGCTGATAGTAATCTATTTGCATGTTTTTTAGTGGGGTCCTTCTATAGCTGCACTCTTAGATATTAATATTTTTATGGTAGCAGTGAGTATATACTGTTGGTGCTTTTATGTTTTATGTAAGGACTTGAATGAGAACTCAGTCTGCAGAGATAAAGCCAGCAAAGATAGAATAAAATATTTAAGATGGTTATGTGTCTTTCAAATACATTAGCTACTATTAGAAGCCAGCATTATTAGCTGTAATCTTTAAAGCATATTAAATATTCATAAACAAATCTGTCTGAGAAAATGATTTCTGTGTGGATGTGGCAGTGAAAGGATTAAATGCTCAGAGATGTGTCTGTTTAACCATACATAATTTGTTGGAAGATGTAAATTAGTAGTCCTGCATACCATTTGCAAAACAGGCAGAAAGCAGTTTCTTATTTTTAGAAGACTTAGATCTGTGTGTGACGCTTTTCAATAATCTTTTTAACTGGCCAAATTATAGCTGATCAGTGGGTGCTTTGCAGCAGGTCAATCAGCTCTGTAGGCTATCCTTTACGAACAGTTATATTTTGTGGGAATTGGAAATAGTAGGGAGAATCACAGAAGTTGTCTATTTGTGTGAGATGGTTATTAAATTGGTTTCTTAGGATTTTTTTGGGGGGCTAAACTGAATTAACAATGACTCATTTTTGTGGCATTATTCAGTAAACACTATAATACTGATGCTTAGAACTTGTTCATACTGCTATTAAATATTAATAGTAAAAATGATTAAGAATTTTATCTAAAAGAGTGTGAGCGCAAATCAGGGAGAAAAAGAATCCTGTAGTTTTTTATAAAGATAGTGCATTGATGGAAACATTCTGGAAAAAGAATGGAAGTACTATTGCAGAGACTGTATCCAGCATTTTAATCTTCTCTGCATCTGTGGGAGAAAAGCCTTTTCAGTGGGATATTATTTCTTAAATACAGTGATATTTGCACTTAATGCTTCAGAAAAAGTATAATTTTATTTCCAAGAATATCATTGTAAGGATTCTTTCCCTTACTGCTGGTGTTTCCTTTATAAATATTTAAATATTTATTTAATGTTACTGTTTTCAAGTTTTGGTATCTCAGTTATGAATTTGTAGTGAAGCATACAAAATTATGGAGGTAGCTTTAGTAATCATAATCCCTTGAATGAATTAGGATTTTTTTTAGTTATGTATGAAATCTGTAGTAAATGAGATTTTTTCTTACATCCCTTTGCTATACTATGAAGTCTTTGAAGCTCTGCAAAATGGAGCAATAATTTATGTATTATCAGCTGTGAGTGTAAAGCAGTTCGTATTTCCAAGCGCATAGTCTCCGGCCTGCAGCAACCAACAAAGCCCTTAGCAACTGTTCTAAGCAGCTACATATGAAGCCCTGATTCTCTGGATCTGTTTTTGCAGATCAAAGTGCATGCTTTTTGCAGACCAAGGTGCATGCATTTGTTAAATTTTTTTTTTTTGTTACAGATGCATGTGCAGGGTGCTTTTAGGTGTGTATTCTGCTTGTAAGTCTCTGGCAAAAGCTGCATATGGTATAGGTTTCAAATCAAAAGACATCAGAGAATTACTTTATTGCATTTGTTGTGCCTGAGATTTAGAATTACATTTATTCTAGAAGACTGGCAAACAGGAAAGGACTGTTAGGAAACCCAGCCTCCTACCTGGTGTGGGCTGTCTTATTTAAGATGAGCATATTTCTATATTTATATGGAACAATGTCGTGTTTTTCTAGGTACCAATGCTTTTGGCTTCAAGAAAACATTGTGTAATTTTTCAGCAACATGCAGCAGTAATCATGAGAGACTAAGTCATACTTTATCTGTCGTCTGAAGATAAAGTTAGTTGAAAGTTATTTAAGGTTATTGAGCAAAAAGATTCTGCCTTCTGAATAAGTATTTTAAATTTGATCTTGACTAAAGGGCTTTGAAGAAGTCCTCTATTGAGTAGTCACTAAAAAGTCTTGCTGGCATTTATTTCGGAGGCTAGTCCTTTTTATTGTCTCACTGATTTAAAAAATTCTGTTTTATTTTTTCTAAGTAAGTCAATGTAGCGTATATTTTACCTAGATTTTTCTCTTAAAGCTTTGCACAGTTAATGTAATGCAGTTGCTAAAAACTAATTTTTCATGCATTAGGAGTTAATGTTTCAGAACTGTGGTAAGGAAAACAAAAATACCACTAGCATGTAAAAGACTCTGCTTTGATGAGGTATGATAGGGTTTGTCTCTTCGGACTTTAAATATTTTGTCAGACTAAAAAGAGACGATCCTTTTTTTTTTTTTTTTAAGGTTTTTCTTTCTGTTTTACAGCTAAAAAGTAAAAGTCAGAGTCCAGAAAAATAACAGCTGACATTAAGCACAGAATGACTAACTGCTGGTTACACGAAGTAATAATGTGAAGAAAACAGGTGAACACATACTAACAGTATAAGAGATAGGGGAATATAAAACAGAAAGTCGTAGGGAACTAGGTAGTATGCATACAACTGTAACTGAAAATACATTCCTATTAATTTTCACATGATCCGTTTTTGGAGTTCTTCAATTCTTCTGAAAGTTTAGATCAGCTGTGATTTTTGTTGCAGGAAGCCAATTATCTTGGCCTTTGCTTTCTGATATCATACCAAACTTTAGCAGGAATATATATTAAACTGTTTTTTATCATTTGGCATAGAAACCTTACATGAGCATTTTTTATTTGCGTATTTTTTCCTTTGCGGTAGCTGATGTGAGAAGACTCAAATGATATTAATCTCCTCGTGAGTTAGATTGATTTTTCCATTTAAATGGGTTCAGTTATCCCCTGCTAACAGCTTCTGTTGGAGGAATATTGCAGTTTAGTTCTGTTTTGTCGGCTGCATGGCAACAGTTTTCTGTAAGATGCTGTTGTGAGTGTAATAGAGATAGCTGGTTTTCTGGGCCTTCCTCCTTGTCCAGCATGTCTCTAGCTGACATTACCAACTCCAGCCAGCTGAAGAAGTAAGAACTATGACTTTATTTCAAAATTGTGTTTCACTTGTGTTGGGGACAGTAGTGCTACAGCCTGTGTAATAGGTTACTTTCTATTAAAAAATTATTAGAATTGCCTCATGTCAGGAAGTCACAAGAATTGTTTTGCCTTCTTAGCATTTGGCAAATAGCTAGTTTGTGAAATAAGTTCTTCATGTGTCTTGGAAAAGAAAGCATGGCAAAAGAGATCAGGAGACCTTTTCTGAAAACTTACTAAGTGCACACACTACATCTGAATTCTAAAGCAGTGTCTAAAGGAACTTCAGTTTTTTGAGGTCTAAAATTTTTCTGATGACTTTCAGTGACACATTTTTCATTCAAATCACTAAAGACAATGAAATAAAGTTTTTAAATATCTTTAAAACTTTGAGTTATCAGACCAGCTGGATTTTCTAAATGTCATTTTTCATTTAGAGTTTAGTGTACAGATCCTGTGCTGTCAGATGCTCTATTTGTAGCAGGATGCTTTGCAAAGTCACAGTTGCTTTGGGCAACATTCAGATTAACACATTATTGCATAATGTCGAGTCTTTTGTGACTAAAATTGATACAAACTTACAGAACAGTATCCGTCCAATTTTACCAACGCAGTATATATTAACAGCTTTTCTCTAAGAATGGAAAGCATTTGATTTACTTCAACCTGTATTTTCCGTGACACATTGTTATTCCTTTGTTACAGCTATGTGAAAGTGAATTTGTTGTCTAGATTGGCCACACAGGGGCATAAGATAACTAATATATTTGGCCCCAAAATAGTACAAAGGTTGTTCACAAACCTATGTGCAGAAGAGACTTAGCAATGGTCCCTGTTTTGAAATTAGATGCACTTAATTTAAAAAAGTAAACAGTATTTTCTTTCATTAAATTAAACCACAGTATTTTTAAAGATTCTTAAGACTTTGCACTTTTTCAGTCCCTTGGTAAGCTTCTTTTGCACAAATACATTGATTTTCAAAAGGTTACTAAAATACCTAATATATTAGCCTGTTCATGACACCAAATATTTACACAGAAAATATCATTTTTAACAGAAAAATATTATTTATTTTCATGATTTAATTTTCTGCTTTGTTTCCTAAATATACCTGCGAGCTATTTAGTAATGCTCTGTTTTATAATGAAGTCATAATATGATGTCAAGAATTACTGCCAAAGGCAACTTTTATTTGTTGTGATGGAATTAATGATTACTTTGACATTGAAGGAAAAAGATAATTTTCTATTCCATGTTGAGAAACAATTTTGCCAAGGTGTTTCTGTAGAACAGATGTGGCTACTTTTCTGACTCTGTATCAGCTCAACAAAGCAAGAGATTTGCTATAATTCTGAGAGAAAGTTTCATTTTCATATATTGTTAGTCCAAGAGACAAGTATAAAAATACACTGGTGGAGATAGAGCTTACAGTATATTGTCCATATTCTGACATACAATAGTGAATAATAACTGAAACTGCCTCTCTTCACTTTCAAAGACTAGCTTGTCTATAACTACTTTTAAAAAATTGGTTTGTTGGGATTTTCACATCTGCTCCCTTTTTACCTCCGTACAAGATTCACATAATCCTGTCTTAAATAATTTCCTGAAATTTGCAGCTGATGTGCTTTCTCAATTGAAAAAACATGCAATGTTGGAAAAAATCTGGAACTTTTATTTGCATTCCTTCTACATTTTTTTTCCTCAATGAGTCAAAGGCAGAGCAAAGCTATTTCCCCCTCGGTTCTTAAGTCTGTGTCTTGAATCAGACACAGTCAGAATTCCAAAACTAAGCTAACACCAGCTCTAGATTTCTATATTACTTTGGAGAAGTTACCCATGTCAAATGATCCTCTATCTTTTTTTCTTCCTAAAATTCAAAGCATAAGCCTTATTCAGATGAATCCCTATGCACACATATATATAGATATGAATGTCTGTAAACACA